GATTTTTCCTTTGTCCAAAAATTTCGTGTTTTTTTTTTTTTTTTTTTTTTTCTCATTGCAATTGCTCGTGGAAGATGGTAATTTCTATTCGTTATAAGTTTTACCCTACACAGGTTGAGTTGAATCAAGTGCGGCACATGGTTGCTGATATATCCTGCCTTGGTAAGAACCAAGATTTGAGGCTGATGCTACGCACCAAGAGAATTTTGGTAGCTCTGAAAGTGAGTTGTTTTCTGTTTAATTTCAATTTTTATGTATCTATGTTGCGCTTCCACATCAAATATTGTTCAAATTTCAAAATTAGCATCCCCCTAACATATCAACTACATTTCCTCTTTTCTCATTTTCTTTGATTTAATGAAATTGAGCCTCACGATTCAAATGACTACCTTTAGAAGAGATTTATTTGCTTCTGTGGTTTGACCTTCTTAGGAAGGCTAGTCAACTATATAATTTTGTCCTTTCTCCAGGATGAAGAGGTTGAGAACATTAAAAGCCTGATTAGTTCTGCGACTTTAGATTCAGAGGTGAAGGGTGGATTAAGGTGGCCCTTGGGTAAACAGTCTTCAGGAGATCAATACACTGTTGTTGGAGTTTGGCATACAAATGGAAAAACGTTTAAGAATTCGTCAATGAGGCTTAAGGTTCGACATGCTGATCGATTTGATTTCAGATCTTCAGCTGGAGAGGTGACCAGAGAGGTCATTCTGAAAATGCCTGGAGTTATACCAAAACTGCCAGTAAGTCTTTTCTGTTTCAAAAGTTGATGCAATATGTTCCGTGTTAGCATTTTTCTCTGATCATTTTTTTTTTAAATGCGTTATTGTTTATATATAAGTTCATTTTGTTTTGTGGTATTAATCAGAATAAGTACTTGTTGATGTGCATAACTTCAAAATTCACTGCTTAAGATTAACAGATAAACAACAATTTGGGTATATGATCATAATCTCTTTAGCTGCTATCAACCCCGTTGTTTGCAAATTTCTGCTTGTGCTTTTAACCAATTGACAGCCTTTTTTTTTTTTTTTGGGTACATGGGAAGAAACAGCTAAAAATTATAATTATGGTCATAGAAAAGGCAACCCCTGTCAAGTCTCTAACAAAAGAGAATAAATAGAGACAGCTGGGTTTTAACTTATAATATTTGACCACCTTTTCATTTGGAGGCAATTTGTGTGGTTTTGATTATCAGGCTACTTCAAAACCACATTAGGGTTTTGGCTGAATTGTGAGGTGTGAAACTTTAGAAGCTAGCACAAAATTCTAGCAAGATTCCAAGACGATGGTCGAGTATTTCTGGTGTGGGATCAGTGCAAATGTGTCATAAGAAATACATTGTTGGGAGTTATTTTAATGAGGACACGGTCATCTTAATTAAGTTGAGATAGAAGACCGCATCTATTCTCTGAAGCCTATGTCAGTTCATGGTACAAATTAGCGATGCATGCCTAACAATGGCAGTAAATAGTTGCTAGCCTATCTGATTCTTAATATACAGACACCAAAATAGAGAGTATTCCTGCCTTGAGAATCCCTCTTTAACAGACTCCGTAGCCTCACCCTATGGTAAGACTTGTTATTTAGTGCTTTGCTTGTATCAATTGCTAGAAATTTGGTATATTTGGCTACGCTTCAAAATTTACGTGTAAATAATAAGTTCACTTACATCTTAAAAGTAAATAAGCAAGTTTAAACATAAATAATTTGTTAATAGAAAAAGTTGGTAATACCCAAGTTACTTATTTTGAAATCAATTCCCACCTTACTCTCGAAATAAGTAACATTTTTTTTTTTAATGAATAATAAAAAACTAACCTATCCATATGTTAGGAACATAAATTTGCTTAAAAACACGCTGTAACCTGTCTTTTTGAACTCAAATATCTGACTCCTTTCATCTCAGGTAATGGTTCTTTGTTGCTACAGTATTTAGATTTGTCTTACTTTCTCCTTTTATTCCAACTGCAGGAACAAACTTTCAAAACTGATCTTGCAATGGAAATGCTGAAGGAAAATTTAAAATTGATCTGGGAATACTTCTTGTGCTAGATTCATTAACCAAAAAAGAGCACAGTCCTTTTGTTTGTGATGTAAATATATGCCAATGCTGCCGCTTATGCAACATGGTTTTACCGAGAGGCTTGTATATCTCATTATTATGGTCTGGATTTGCAAATTTTACTTCAAAATTGGAATAAATATTAACTATTTACTTGCAGTTTTCTATCAGTTCGACCTTCCTTTTTCTCTGATATTTCGTTTTTCCTGACATTTCAGTTTTTGAGCTATAATATTTGTAGAAATTCTCCAGTTTTTGAACCATCATTATGATCTACTTTCTCTAACTCTGTTTTTATACATAAAAGTATGTGTTACAGAAAAACAATTTTTATGCTTATGCAACAATAAAAACACTTATTGAGAGGTGTAAACACACACAGTATATTAAAATGTCAGAATTTCATTGTATTTTAGGAGGTGGACAGTCATCTTCTACAAGATAATGAGGGAAACAACATTGGAATGCACATGAAACTACAATGATCTTTTACAGTTATATGATCTTATAATCTTTAGATTAATTATATACAATTTCTGTGATTAATCTTATCCCGAGAAGCATGTCGCCATCAGCACAAGAATGGTTGGAGAAGATGCCAAAAAAAAATTAAAAAAAATTAAAAATTCCATCACTTTTGAATCTTGTTAATTATTCAGATTCTTCACTCCCAAGGATCATATGGAAACCTAGTTTTTTGTTTTTTTTTTTTAATTTGATTGGTTCTAAGAAATAATTACATTATTGTTTTGAAGCGGATTTGGACATTTCTGTTGTAACAATGAGGCTGCTAATCAGAATATTATTTTGTAATGGAAAATGGTTTATGTTTCCAACACAACGTTATTTTTTATGATGTAAATCATTAATTACTAAAAAAGATTATTGGATAAGAATTTCAACGAGATAGATTAAATACATTACACATGTACGATTTTTTATAAATGGGTGACAATTTTCTAATCAAAGGATGATAAGATGTTAAAATATAATCTAAAAATTAAGTTTTAAACTTGTCTTCAAAACTTCTTTTGTTCTATTGAGGTTGAACTTCCCCATATAATATGCTTGCATGCATTTCTGCCCAGAAAAAAGATTTGTTTCCACCATTCTTATTAAAATAATAATAACATAAATTAGAAAGATTTGGGGAAATCTCAAGTGGAGATGAAAGTAAAATACTTACCATTCAATCTACTGTTATTCATTGTACATTACATTACTCTGTATGTACAAGCTGTTTCATTGCCCTCACCAGAAGATCCAGGTATATACTTTTCTTCGTCATTTTTCTTTATTTAATATATTGTCTTTTTTGCTGTTTTGCATGCGCCTTTTTTTTTTTTTTTAAATCTGAGTCAAGACTTGTGATTTTAGTATCAGTTGCATATCATACATAGAACCTGATAGTAAGCATTGAGGTGGCGTGTCCATATTCAATACTCATCGGACATGTGTTCGGCTTCGACCATAATTTGGCATATTATTTTTATAATTTTAAAGTCACGATACTCGAGACACTTCCCATGTCATGTACAATCTGTGTTTGCGTTTCTTAGACAGTCATCCTTCATATATTTATTGTTTTGCCTAGTAGTCTATTTTTTCCTTGCATAAAGCCTGTTGTGTAACCTGTGAACCATCACTTATTCTACCATAGTATATTCAAGAATCATAACTTAAGCACATATAAATGCCTGTTCAGTGCTGCTACGTGTTCTGGCCTTTTACAGATTTTCTACCGATGAAATTAAGAATGCCTTCGACTTAGACAACGAAAGAAAGTGTTACAAGGGAACGCTACCAGTTAAGTGGACAACTAGTAGCATTTAAGCAGAAGTAATGTTTTTGGATGACTGACTAAAGGATTGAAGGGCAACTATCATCTCCGTGATCTTGTCTAATTGATCTGAATTTGTAGTGTTGCTGCTTGGAGTGGACTGAATAGTTTTCTCTTACTGCTGTTTCTCAGTTCGACTCATGCGAGTTTCCAAAGTCACCAATTCCTAGCTATTGACTGAGGAGTCCTCCATTGTCAGCTCAATTTAAAAGAAAACCGTCTCTGATACCATGAAGAATGAAATAAAAAATTTCTGTATTTCTTCATTGAATTGTACAAACCTATTACACCTTTTTTATAGTACAACAATAAAAAGAAAAAAGAAAAAAATAATCTTCTAATTTAGGAAACAAGAAATTAGCCTAACAATCAGCTTAAATTATGGGAAGATTTAATCAATCATATATCAATCGTGATTAATCTCTAGAATTCTACAAAAGAAGAGTCAAAATCCTACGCGGCTGTGCACACAAGCAAACGACGTGATCGAGGGGAAAGATAATCGACAGATTTTCAGGACTCAAGTTTGAATGGAAATGGGACTAGTGTTGATTTTGAATCCATATTGCAAATTGCAGTACCGTGTGTGGTTAAGTGTAACAAATTGATATAAAAAAAAAATTAAAAAATAAATAAATAAATAAAATTAACAAATTACACTGAATCGAAGTTGAGAGGTTATAACGATTGTGAGACAAA